TTTTTTTTTTAGGGCACAATCCTGCGCAGTTGCCCAGAATCCTCCATATTTGGAGGGTTCGAGGTATCCTAGGCAAGCTGGGAGATGTTTTGTATGCTAGTAAGGCTGTCTCCTCCAGTACCTGCCCTCCTGCCCTGCTCCTCACACCCATCTCAACCAAAGCCAGCATGGTTCTTTCTGTGCCTCCTGCAAGGACAGCAGAAGGGTGTCCCGAATTTGGCATCCCAGCTACCAACATTGGAGCATGTTTCCAAGCTCAAAGCTGGGATTCCAAAACCTATGGCCATCTCAACTGTTGGTGGAATTGATGCAGTAAACAATTTGGTGAATTAGCTATAGTCAGCAAGTTGGTATTGTATACATCTGATCTAATCCAACTAGTGTAGTCACAAGGCTCCTATTACCTACAGTGCAAACAGACTTCAGTCTTCAGCCCACCAGAGCTAGCTTATCCAATTTCTTTTTAACATTCTCTATAATGTCCCTTTTGTTTTTCTAGTATTAATGGCCCACATACATTCAGCTCTTTTAATCTCTGTGCAGGTACTTTTTGGTGCAAATTTCATCTGGCGTCAGTTATTCTGCCAAAGATGGGAACAAAGGGAAGAAATTTGCTCACATTACTGAGTGAGAGAGTAGCTCTTATGAAATGTACTTCCTCTTGCTTTATGTATTTTTGGAAACTTGACAAAAATACAGTCAAAGGATATATTCTCTACCAACATCTCTTTGATCTAATCCATTTTATCTATGGTTATTTCCAGGGAGTAGCATTTGCTTCTGAAAGAGCTGAGTTTTATTTCTACCATCCCATAAATTATCCCCCAAGCAGCTACTAGAATAGCGAATTTCAACCACATAGTGCACTTGCTTTTCAGATAGGGAAGCATCCTTTTAGTCCATTTGGATACTTCTTTAAAGAAATGATAAAAGCATTTTCTTGTCAATACAACCTGCAAGAGGCAATCTCCCTTGCATGCCTTTTTGTATATATAGACAAATCTCATGAATAAACTTTATACTAGCCAGTGTGGGCCATGGTTTTTATGATTTTTATCCAGGCTAGACTTTTATTTTAAAGTTGGCAGCTATGTTATTTAAAGGAAAACCTGCTTCTGAAATAGGAAACAAAGTTTATTAACAAGTGTTACCAGATAAACTTACTACATCACTATAGTCCTTAAAAGATTTAAATAATAAGCCGCTGTTAGGATTTGCTTATATTGCTGCTGATGATAATGGTTTTATTTGATTTGGGCATCTGTGACCTCACAAAGCAGTAAACCATCAGGAGGAAAGAGAAGAAACAAAGCTGCAATTGCCAGATAAGCAAAGTACCTTTAGAAGATCCTTTTAGATATGTAAAGCAATTACAATATCAAAATAAAAGCAGCAAAGAAGAAGGTCTTCAAATGTATTGGAATGTCTGAACAGAAGGGCCAGGATGCAAATGAACAGGAAGGGGATTCCATAGATTTGAGGCCACCATTGCCCCATTGTATTAACAGTGAGCACTTGAGAAGGACCCATGAAGTTATAACTGTTTGTTGTAAACTGTCCTGAGATGTCTGTGACGGGATGGTATAGAAAGTTTTAAATAAATAAATCTATCTATCTTAATGAATGGGCAGAATGAATCTGTGAAATGGGTCCTTCCAACCAATCCTTCCAAATAGGTCCTTCCAACCTTAGCTAACCATGAACCATGGTTCATGGTTAGCTGAGATCAGGTCTAACTACTTCAGACAGGATTGTATCTGGTACACAAGCTGAAGCTTATGAAATGTGTTTCTGGCCCTAACTAGACCATTGTAATTAGGACCATCTCCTAAGCCCAGGCCAGACTGATGGTACAGAAGATACCATGATGTATGGTGTTGAATATCCAAAGGATTCTGCTCTCATCATTCAATTCTTGGTACAATAATTTATCCAGTAGCATGACCAGGGCAATTTCTGTTTTGAAACCAGGTCAGAACCTGAGTGGAATGGATCTAAACAATCCATGGTTTACACAGAAAAAGGCCTACAACTCCAAGCATGTCATACCTTTGATTTTACTCTAACTGAAGCACAGAGCACATATTCATTCAAGGAGGAATTCACTATCTCCAAAGTCCAAGCCTTCAGTCCCAACCTAAATGTTTCCAATAAATCAGAATGGTAAAGTTCTGCAGTGAGTTTCCAACTTCCAAGCAGCTTGTCCACATTCATTGAAAAGTGTTCATTACAATAGGCTTGCAGAGCCTCTGAATTCAGCAGTTGGAGGCCATACTCCAGTGGTGAGTGGGGCTAAAGGCAAAAGGAGGCATGATAAAGAGAAAATGGAGGACCAAAACATTTTGAAAAATTCTGCACAGTTCAGCTTAAATGTCTTCTAAACCTTAGAAGATGCATCCCAACCTTTTAGAATGAGGAAGCAACTATAGAAAAGCTGGGGAAACTCCCAATGATCGGTGGCTGGGGAAAAGGGAGTATGGCCATCTGGGGAATCTTGGAGGATGGATTGTGACTGCAAGAATTGCCCTGGTCACACTACTGGATAAATTATTGCAGCAAGAACTGAATGGTAAGAGTGCAACCCTCTGGACATTTGATAGCATCCATCAAGGCTGCCCAGCCTGTGGTTCTGTAGCCCTGCATTGAAATTTGACAGGGTAGTGTACTAGCTACATTAAAACCATGTAATAATTCTATAGAAGTATTAGTGATTTTATCTGAAAAAATGCATATTGATCTCAGGAAGCCATTGAGGGCTCTAATATCTATTCACTGGATTTATGTGGAGTAGGCTTTTCACAATCCAAAACGGTTCCTCTGGCCAATATTGTATAGATGAATGGGGGCAAAGCAGTAAGATTCCTTTGCTACTATTGCCACCACAATTTAAGTGCAACGGTGGGCTCTTACCTGTGTTTGATCATGCTCACAGTGAGTTTTCTGCCAACTGCATTGTAATTATAAGCCCAGTTTCTTTATAACTTTCTTCATCCCCGTTGAGTACCAGTGTACTTATGCTTCCATGATCAGATCACATGTACTTGGGAATCCTATTCCTGGTTCCTAGTTCTGGGTATAGGAATACAAAGCTGGAAGACTGGAACAGGGTGCCTGAGGAGATAGATGTAGTACTTCTAGGAAGTGTACTGGCTGTATTTAAATTCTGAATCATTGGTGGAAAATCGTGGTGGACAGAAATTAAGGAAATTAATGTATTCTATATTGTAGAATGCATTATATTGTAGAGAGTAGTATTACACAATCTGGGTTAAGAGCTGAGCTGTAAGTAAGTACTGGGGGGTCAAGCCAGAGTCAAAACTGAGAGACTTACTATTTTTGCTTTTGCAAAGTCCAGTCTAAACAAGAAGATGTTATTATTCTTCCTTCAGTTGTGGAAAATCAGTGAATTCTGAACAGAGTCACTCCAGTTCTTTACAGTCTAGGCAATGGCATTAACAGGTGGTCCCAGTGGCTCATCACAGTGGCAGTTTAGCCAAAGGCTCCCAAATTTAATCCTGGCTTCTCCCAACATTTTACTTCTGCCAAATGCCACAAGATCCTGTTCACTGAAGAAGCAAGCAACCAAACTTAATTGGGCAACTAATTTGATTTAAATATTTAATATTTCCTTTATTAGTTTCACAGATCCAGAGAAGTAAGATTTGTATGATTTAGTGCTGCTCATCATTTTTATTTGTTTTGGTTTAATTAGTAGTAGCATTAGAGGTTGTGTGGGGATATAAATTAGCTTAAAAGAGAGTTGGCTGTTGCTGACTGAACATTGGTGTGATGTCGGTGGAATTTTAAGCAATCTGAGTACAAAGCAGGTCTTCAGGTTCTGCAGTTACATTGGCACCTGTTCTCTAATATGCAGGCATTATTCTTCATGTTAAGTAATCAGAGAAGGGATTGCATAAAAGTGGCTGTAGATGCTGTCACTAATAACTCCATCTGGCTTTAGTACAAATGCATTGGGAAAGAGAAGGCTAAAGGGCTTGTTCTTGGCACTGGTTCATTGCACTTGCTCCTTTGTCAGTGATATCAGACTTCAGATAGAATCTCTTGCCACCACTTTTTATGTGTTCCCACCTCTAGAGAAATGGTGTGTGTGTGTGTGTGTGAAAGAGAGAGATTTGAGTGTTCTGTAAAGTTCTGAGGAAGAGTACAATTTATGTACTTTCACTGCAATCTGTGGGAAGACATATGATGGACAATACCAAGGTAGAACAGTCTGTCCCTAACTTTATAAATGAAAACCTATAGATGTTGTGAGGTTTCACTCCACAACGTTAACACAGGGTTTGACCTGATAAAGTCCTTTGTCTTTCATATCTTAGTATTCAGTGCTTGCAGCTAAGGAAGTAAATGCAATTTCAACAGGGGTGCAAAAGCAGTACCTGCAAGAAGGAATAGTTTGGGCAACATAGCTGGAAAACTTAGAGGAAGTGCTGCCTTAGAGTAATGTTTTCTCAAAGATGTCTCAAAATAGTCTCTGAAGTTCAGTATAGTTTGCCATAAATACTTTGGAAATTTCACCATTGAAAAATTGGGAACTAGTAAAAATGGGAGTGTTTGCAAGGGAATAGGAAACTGCTGACTTGCAGGCTGGATCCTGCCCATCATGGCACCATTCCATCCAGTCTGGGCACATTGGAATTCCTCTTCTGCCATTGCAACCAATCACTTGCCTCCTCCTCTGCCTCTTCCGCAGTTTCCACTTTGCCACCACAATCCTGAGTACATTCGGAGCAAATCAGATGGAAGACTGATGGCCTATGACCATTGAGAGCAACCCTACCATTTTCCAGGTTTTATTACTTCCCCACAGAGTTGAAAACTTCTTTATTCTGCATAGGTTATCGAACTGAGGCACTTTCATCTTGAAATACCTTCAGAATACATTGTTTGAAGATATCAGTTGATACTGTTAAATACATTCATCTCTTGTCTATTACATTTTAAACATATTTCATTAAAATGTTTTTTCCCCCTTCTATCAGCAACTTATGCGGGAGCGACAGCAGATGGCCAGCCGTCCCTTTGCTTCTGTGGATGTAGCACTTGAAGTAGGAGCTGAGCAAACAGACTTTCTACGAGGGTCATTAGAGGTAGGAACTGTGGTGCTGACAAGGGACCATTGCAATTTGCATATTTATATTGCTAGTCTCATCTGCATCTGCTTCTGAAACCAAGAAGAGTATGATTACCTGGAGCTGACAAGTTGCAGCTACATATGTTGTGCCGTTTTTGAGGCTCATCATTTCAGTAGTATGACATGAGCAGTAACAAAAGCCACTGGAGAATCTATTAGCTTTGGCTGGAGTGACAATCTGCTCACCTGGCAGCCCTTTCTTGGTGGATAAGAGCCGAAGGAGTTTAAGATGCACATATTAAACAAGCCTTGTATTTAGTCCTCGGAGTACACAGTGCCCCCTAGTTAACGGTCCACATCTATCTTAATTAACTGAGATTGCTCTTTAAAATGAGCTTTGTGTTACATTTCATTATTCCAGCTTTATTTGTGAGGTTTGGAGAGTGCAGTCTACAGAATATGTTGTCGTTTGTGAATAATAGCTACATTATGACATTTTTATTGTGAAGGCAGCACTTCAAAAGAGAAATTATAATATGCTAAGCAATGTAAGACTATATTGGAATAGTGCAATAATGCATGAAATAGATTCTGGAAGAGTCACCTAAAATGCAAAGAGAACTACTAGTTGAAGATGATAATGTCTAATCTAACTAGGAGTGGCTTTATATTCAGTCATACTCATGTGGTTCTGTACTTCTATTTACAATGTTTGGCATATGTATGTTGGTTGGTCTTTTCTAGGATTCAGATGAGAAATTTTCCCAAACTGAAGATTCACTTTTATTATTTTCAGTTTTTCTTTCAGCTCACCTTTCTCTTGCTGTTCTTATCCACTTTCCATGGAGGGGGCAGGGGTGGCAGGGACAAACCTAAGGCTTCTCCAGTAATTAGTAAAGCCCAAGTAATTACTTCTCCAGTTAGCTAGTAAAATCCAAGTCTGATCCCATGCTTGGGTTACTGTAGGACTCAATAGACTCTATCTCCTTTTCTCTGCAGTGCACTGGGCCATTATAGATACTGACCTAGTTCACATGCAATAACCCAGTGTGAGCAAGTAGCCATGGTTGGTTTCTACACTGTCCAAACCCAGACCACTTCCTGCAGGGTAACTGGATTGTTTGAAAAAGCCACCCTGAGAATCCATTGGCTGATGTAGGGTTAGTTTTTACCCACAGCAGGTTGTTGTGTTGACTGAATCTGCACAACTGATCCCACCATAGATAAAAAAGTGGGGAAAAAGGTGAAAAATGACAGTGGCAAAGAAAACCTGCTCGCCGTTGTTACTGGTCTTGCACATATCGCTATCATCGCAATCCCTCCAAAGGTACATTCTAATATCCTGGGGGTTCCTGCTGTCAGTGAGCAAGAGAGCAGTCAGTTTCAGCCCTAGACATTGACCCAGAGAGGTTCTGAGTAGGTTTAGTTTTGCCTTTGCTTCCCTCTGACCACTGGCAAAATCACAATATGTGTGTGTGTGTGTGTGTTTGCTGCTGCTGCTGTGCTCATTGCACCAAATTTGGTGGCACTCATGGTGAAAGCAGCAGGACAACAAAAAGGGCTATAGGGCTACATGCAGCCTGCAAGCTGTGATGTGCCCACTTCTATATTAAATAATTAAAACAGATACTTTTGAAAGGTCACTAAATGATGTGGGCATATATTAGCAAGTGCTCTTTTCAACACAAAAAAGTCACAATTGGTAATACAGATGCTCACTACATCAGTACAATTGTGGTCAGTGTACTAGCTGGGGATTGTGTGGTCCTACAAACAAACTATTTTGCTCGGAGTACCATGCCAATTTGAATTCCTCAAAGAACAGAGGCGCTTCCTTAAGGAAAGGCACTTTAGTGCTCCTACAAACAACACATTCCAACAGCACATTTATTGCTATTTATTATAACAGCACATTTATTCAACAGCACAAGCACTTCTAGAAAAGTGCACTAGCTGAGGAACTGCTTCAGCTCAGCCTGGTCATGATAAGCCCAAAGACTAAGCTCTTAAAGAATTAGGCTTTCAGCACTTCCAGTAAAAGGATGCAAATGGCAAGATTTGTGGCTGACATAGTTTTAGTGTTTTCAAAGTGGAGTGCATTAAACTAACCCAAAAAAGCAGTGCTAGAAATGTGATGGCGGAGTGCTACTGTCAGTGCCCCCATCCTGCCTTGTGCATTTTTCTTTTGGAAAAACGGTGGGAAGTGCCAAACTGTTCAGGCTGAGGACTAAAAGTCTCTGTGCTGCATACCAAACTGAAGTTTATGTAATTCATCTGGAGAACAATCTCTTTATGCTCTTTTGGGTGGGAAGATGCAAAATAAGGGGTGGGAATGCAGGCTTAGATTGTTTACGTACTTAATTTAACTTTAGAAGTAAGCAACAAAAGTTAATTGCTGCCTTTTCTATGACATATTTTATTAAGAAACTAATGGATATGGAAGCTGAAATATTTTAATTATTGTTTAAAATATAATGATTCATTTTTCTCTCTACTATAAACATATTCTTCTAATTGCGTTCATGCTCACTGCTTAGATTTGCTCTGCCTAGCTTTATTAACATATACAAACTCTGAATACCGTTTTTCCCTACTGAAGGTCTGAAATCCGCAGCAATGAGGGGCATTGCACTGAATATTAAAGTAATATGGTGCAATGTATTGATTGGTCTATGGTGTTTACTGCATAGAGTTCAATACAAAGAAAGGGCTTTGTATTATTCAGTTAAATCACAGGTCTGTTTTAAACTTACCAAAGCAGAGTAATAAAAATTACATTTGCTCTAAATCGTCACTGTTCTTAGCCCATGCAGTTGAGGTGTGCTTATTTTACTCAAAGAGCTCCAGAACAGTCAGTCAGAACAGTCTGCCAGGCATTTTTTCCAGCGCTTCTTTATGGAACTTGCAAAAAAATAAAGGTTATTGCATTGTCCTAATTAAGTTTGTTTTGGGGGACAGGGGAAAGTAATATGCTGTATTTTCTATTTATGTTAGTTGACACCAGCAGAATCTATGGATATGTATAACTAGCAGAGCATTGTGACTGATGCATATATTTTGAATAAACATGGCACTTTCCTCTAAATTTCTTCCCAATATACTTTAATAGCATTTGCATGTAGGGCTCCCTCACAGGTGAAATAAAATCTGCCACTTACATCAATAACATAATTACAAGTTACTTTTATGCCAAACCTTCTCCTCAGCCTTCTTTTATGGTATGTGATTCACAGCTGATTTGGATCAGGTATAAACTCAGTACTGCTCTTTTATTAACACTGTGATAACTCTGTCAGTTCCAGTGATGTTATATTGAACTGTGGGTCCTTTGGACAAAATGTAATGACGGAGTAACTATTTCCCATAGTGATTTAGGTTTTCTACTTGTCTCACTAGTAAAAGTGTCGCACATTAATATTGTCTCTCACATATATCACATTGTGCATTTCAAAGTCAGGAGGTTTTATCTTAATGTAATGCTATTATGTACAAATTATTACTGTGTGTGTATGTTGTGGTAGTGGTGACGATATGCATTCAGATATTCACTTTTTTGGGTTACTATCTTGGCTTGACAGGTTTACTTGAAAATTTTCATACAATGCATTTGAGTTGCTAGAGTTGAAATGTGTTATTATTTGGAGAAAGAAGGTAACAGTGGAACATGGAGGCCTAAACAACATGAATGGCACTTCTGTAAAAGGAAAAGGAGAAAGAAAAGGAAAGAAAATATACAAACACTCGCATACATCTAGATACTTTGGGCATTTGTAAAGCATGGCTATGGCAGGAGGTATGCACTCTACTCCAAAACTGAGCATGCTGTGTCAGAATTTGGGTTGTTCCAGTGGCTAGAACCAGAATACCTACCACCATATTTGCAGAATCAGCTCCAGGCCCTGCTGGAGCTCTCAGCCTCCTAACGACCAGCAGCTCAGGTCCTAGAGGAAGAGCCATACAAGAGCATAAGAAAAGAAGTAAAAAAGAAAGGTGCATTTGTGTTCCATGAAGCGTTTGGTGCAGGGTCAGCCAGGTGACAGGTGTGGGGAAAGGCATGAGTTGCAGCATTGACATGATGGGTATGGTAGTTCTTTTTGATACACGAGAATTTAGTATGTGAGTACAAGACTTCTCGTCTTCTTACATGGGATCCTGCAAGAAAAGGAGTGGCCTTCTACCTACTTTCTTTGTGGTGCACTAACTTTAATGGTGGTAGTGCCCACCCTGCCAACCCCTGGAGAAATACTGGGTGAAGAAGCAGTGACCCTTTGAGTTTAGAAGAAAGAGATGGCAGATATGCCCAGAAAGGCATGTGTACCCCAGGTTTGTTGGAGAAATGTTGAAATTAGGAGACATAGATTTGGAATGAATATTTTAACACTATTCTTGGCATGGCAGATTTGCAGAGCCATGATTGATTATAAATATGGCAGAGAAAGAATTTGCAAGAAGAGATGGAGATACAAGAATGCTGTGTGTTTGTGTGCAAGGAACTGGTACTGGTAAGTTTTGAAAGATTTGTGTCTACCATTTGGGTCCAAAGAACTGAGGAGGCAGGTAACTTGTGGCAGATAAGTTAGGCAATATATCTTTAAAGACACAATATATATTTTGGTTAATGCCATGTATTCATAGGCCTCTGATGCTGCCCCTTTCCTTGATTGTCAGTTACGAGTATGATGCTTAGATCTTCTTGGCTTAATATTTTGCCTCCAACACCACCTCAAGTGTACATCTCAATTTAATGATATTTCTCCAGCTGCTGCTGGTGGTGCTATTTCCCTACCTGCGTTTTTCTCTTAACGTGCCACAGAGATACCTTATATTTTTCTCTCTCTTTCTGTCTCTCTCTGTGACTCATTCAGCTTATATTGGGACCATATATGATATATTTCCATGTATCTGTTCAAAATACACTTACATGTATGATGTCAGCTCCTCATGGTGGGGTTATTTATTTTTTCTCTTAATAAAAGTGGTTAAAATAAATATCAGTAGTCTGACATAAAGCAAGAT